GCACTCAACCATCAAAAGCAAGGTAGGCATAGCTACCATAATGGACAGCAGAGGCAAAGCAGCAATCAGAATAGTCTGACTTGTATAGAGCTCTGGCATTGGCTAATTAATCACTGTGTTCCTAGAAGTGAAATTAATAGGAAGCCTACTGCATTCTTACTTAATTTATATAAGCAGAAAACTTCTAGGTCGAATGGACAAAAAACTAATTTGAAATATAAAAACAGATAATCCCAGCCCCTCAATCAATTTCCAAACTTGAGATAGTTTACAGACCCAGAACCACTTGAATGAAGGGAGGACAGGTCCCCTTGAGGAAGGACCTCACTACATTACCAACAATTTATGCCATGAATCTTTCTCCCATCCTTCCCCAAGGAGACTTGCAGCCTTTTACCAGGGTAACTGTGCACTGGGGAAAGGGAAATGATCAGACGTTTTGGGGACTATTGGACACTGACTCTGAGCTGACGTTGATTCCAGGGGACCCAAAACATCATTGTTGTCCTCTAGTTAAATTAGAGGCTTATGAGGTCAGGTAATTAATGGAGTTTTAGCTCAGGTCTGACTTACAGTGAGTTCAGTGGGTCCCCTGACTCATCTTGTGGTCATTTCCCCGGTGCCAGAATATATACTTGCAATAGACATACTTAGCAGCTGGCAGAACCCCAACATTGGCTCCCTGACTGGTAGGGTGACGGCTGTTATGGTAGGAAAGGCCAAATGGAAGCCATTAGAGCTGCCTCTACCTAGAAAAATAGTAAATCAAAAACAATATCACACCCCTGGAGGGATTGCAGAGGTCAGTGCCCCAATCAAGGACTTGAAAGACTCAGGGGTGGTGATTCCTACAACATCCCTGTTCAACTCTCCTATTTGTTCTGTGCAGAACACAGATGGATCTTGGGGAATGGTAGTGGATTATTGTAAGCTTAACCAAGTGGTGACTCCAATTGCAGCTGCTGTACCAGATGTGGTTTCATTGCTTGAGTAAATTAACACATCTCCTGGTACCTGGTATGCAGCCATAGACTTGGCAAATGCCTTTTTCTCCATTCCTGTCCATAAGGCCCACTAGAAGCAATTTGCCTTCAGCAGGCAAGGGCAGCAATATACCTTTACTATTTTATCTCAGGGGTATATCAACTCTCTGGCTTTGAGTCATAATCCTATTTGGAAAGACCCTGATTGCTTTTTGCTTCTGCAAGATATCACACTGGTCCATTACATTAATGTCATTATGCTGATTCGATCCAGTGAACAAGAAGTAGCAAACACACTGGACTTATTGGTGAGACATTTGTGTGCCAGAGGATGGGAAAAAAATCGACTAAAATTCAGGGACCTTCTACTTCAGTAAAATTTCTAAGAGTCCAGTGGTGTGGGGCCTGTCAAGATATTCCTTCCAAGGTGAAGGATAAGTTGCTGTGTTTTGCTCCTCCTAAAACCAAGAAAGAGCCACAACACCTAGTGAGCCTATTTGGATTTATTTATATATTTATTTATTTAGATGGAGTCTCACTCTGTCACCAGGCTGGAATGCAGTGGTGCGATCTCAGCTCACTGCAACCTCCGCCCCCCAGGTTCAAGCGATTCTCCTGCCTCAGCCTCCCAAGTAGCTTGGACTGCAGGAATGCACCACCACACCCAGCTAATTTTTGTATACATTTTTTAGTATACATTTCGTATACGTCTACGTTTTTTGTATACGTTTTTTAGAGACGGGGTTTCACCATCTTGGCCAGGATGCCCACCCGTGATCTGCCCACCTCAGCCTCCCAAAGTGCTAAGATTACAGGCATGAGCCACTGCACCCGGCCATCTGTTTGGATTTTGGAAGCAACATATTCCTAATTTGGGTGTGTTATTCCAGCCCATTTGTCAAGTGACCTGAAAGGCTGCTGGTTTTGAGTGGTGTCCAGACCAGGAGAAGACTCTGCAACATGTCCACTCTGTTGTGCAAGCTGCTCTGCCACTTGGCCGATTTGACCCAGCAGATCCAATGGTGCTCGAGGTGTCAGTAGCAGACAGGGATGCTGTTTGGAGCCTTTGGCAGGCCTGCATAGATGAATCACAACAGAGGCCTCCAGGATTTTGGAGCAAGGCCCTGCCATCTTCTGCAGATAACTATTCTGCTTTTAAGAGACAGCTCTTGGCCTGTTACTGGGCTTTGGTGGAAACTGAACGTTTGACTATGGGTAGTCAAGTCACCATGTGACCTGAACTGCCTATCATGAATTGGGTGCTTTCTGACCCATCTAGCCATAAAGTGGGTTGTGCACAGCAGCATTCCATCATCAAATGAAGTGGTATATACATGATCTGGCTCAAGCAGGTCCTGAAGGCACAAGTAATTTACATGAGGAAGTGGCTCAAATGCCCGTGGTCCCCACTCCTGCCACCCTGCCTTCTCTCCCCAAGCCTGCACCGATGGCCTCATGGGGAGTTCCCTATGACCAGTTCACAGGGAAAGAGAAGACTAGGGTTCACAGATGGCTCTGCACGATATGCAGGCACCACCCAAAAGTGGACAGCTGCAGCACCTAGAGTCCCTTTCTAGGACATCCGAAGGACAACAGTGAAGGGAACTGTACCTGGTTATGCACTTTGCATGGAAGGAGACATGGCCAGATGTGCGATTATATACTGATTCATGGGCTGTAACCAATGGTTTGGCTGGATGGTCAGGGACTTGGAAGAAGCATGATCAGAAAATTGGCAACAAAAAAATTTGGGGCAGAGGTATGTGGATGAACCTCTCTGAGTGGTGTAAAACTGCTAAAATATTTGTATCCCATATGAGTGCTCCCCAATGGGTGACCTCAGAAGAGGAGGATTTTAATAATCAAATGGATAGGATGACCTGTTCTGTGGACACCATTCAGCCTCTTTCCCCAGCCACCCCTGTCATCACCCAATGGTCTCATGAACAAAGTGGCCATAGTGGCAGGGATGGTGGTTATGCATGGGCTCAGCAACATGGACTTCCACTCACCAAGGCTGACCTGGCTACGGCCACTGCTGAGTGCCCAATTTGTCGGCAGCAGAGACCAATGCTGAGCCTGTGATATGGCACCATTCCTCGGGGTGATCAGCCAGCTAGCTGGTGGCAGGTTGATTACACTGGACCTCTTCCATCATGCAAAGGGCAGAGGTTTGTCCTCACTGGAACAGACACTTACTCCCAATAGGGGTTTTTGCCTATCCTGCACATGATGCTTCTGCCAAGACTACCATCCGTGGACTCACGGAATGCCTTATCCACCATCATGATATTCCACACAGCATTGTCTCTGACCAAGGCACTCCCTTTATGGCTAAAGAAGTGTGGCAGTGGGCTCATGCTTATAGAATTCATTGGTCTAACCATGTTGCCCATCATTCTGAAGCAGCTGGATTGATAGAACGGTAGAATGACCTTTTGAAGTCACAATTACAATGCCAACTAGGTGACAACACTTCGCAGGGCTGGGGCAAAGTTCTCCAGAAGGTCATATATGCTCTGAATCGGCGTCCAGTATATGGTACTGTTTGTCTCATAGCCAGGATTCACAGGTTCAGGAATCAAGGGGTGGAAGTGGAAGTGGTACCACTCACCATCACCCCCTAGTGATCCACTAGCTTTCCCACGACATTACATCCTGCTGGCCTATAGGTCTTAGTTCCAGAAGAAGGAACGTTGCCACCAGGAGACACAACAATGATTCCATTAAACTGGAAGTTAAGATTGCCACCTAGACACTTTGGGCTCCTCCTACCTTGAAGTCAACAGGCTAAGAAGCGAGTTACAGTGTTGGCTGGGGTGATTGACCCGGATTATCAAGATAAACTCAGTCTACTACTCCACAATGGAGGTAAAGAAGAGTATGCATGGAATATAGGAGCTCCATTAGAGTTTCTCTTAGTATTACCATGCCCTGTGATTAAGGTCAATGGGAAACTACCACAGCCCAATCCAGGCAGAACAACAAATGGCCCAGACCCTTCAGGAATGAAGGTTTGGGTCACTCCACAGGAAAAAAACATGACCTGCTGAAGTGCTTGCTGAAGGCAAAGGGAATACAGAATGGGTAGTAGAAGTAGGTAGTCATCAATACCAGCTACGAACACATGACCAGCTGCAGAAACAGGGACTGTAACTGTCATGAATATTTCCTCCTTCTTTTGTTAAAAACATGTTTGTGTGTATGTATACATTTGTACTAAGAAAATATCTTCATTTTATTTCCTTTCTCCTTCATGATGTGACATAAGATTTACTGACTCCACATCAGCATTTAAGTATTGTAAACTTTATGAAATAGCATTTGGATTGGGGATTGGTGCATTTCCAGTTGTACAAAGGATAATTATATTATGTTAGGTGTAATTATGACCTTATTATTATCTTTATTTGAAGATTATGTATGATCTCAGGATATGTGTATGGGTTCAAGTTGACAAGGAGTGATGGTTAATACAAGGAGTGATGGTTGACAAGGAGTGACTTGTGATGGTTAATACTGAGTGTCAACTTGATTGGATTGAAGGATGCAAAGTATTGATCCTGGGTGTGCCTGTGAGGGTGCTGCCAAAGGAGATTAACGTTTGAGTCAGTGGGCTGGGAAAGGGAGACACACCCCTAATCTGGGTGGGCACAATCGAATCAGCTGAAAAATGTGAAAAGACAGACTGGCCTAGCATCCCACCCTGCATCTTTCTCCTATGCTGGATGCTTCCTGCCCTTGAACATTGGACTCCAAATTCTTCATTTTTGGAACTTGGACTGGCTCTCCTTGCTCCTCAGACTGCAGACAGCCTATTGTGGGAACCCTGACTAATACACATGGTTTATGTTTGGCAAGGTCAAGTAAGGTGGCTGAGAAGTATTCATTGGATTTAGGTCATTTGTCACCTATTCTGTAGCTAATTCTGTAGCTAATAGTGAAGCAATGAGTGTAGGAGTCAGATAAAAGTGGAATGAGAAAGGAATGTGAGTTGAAATAAAGACAATATGTGAATAACGTTTTCAAATATTATTTGAAGGCTTTTTCCACTGTATTTCCTTATACACACAGGACTTCCCTTACCTTTAGGATTTTCTGAACTAAAGGAGGCTGTGCCAAAAACAGAGAGGTCTTTGGTTGGTTAAAGTTTTGGTCCTGCTTTAAATAGGAAGGTTTGTAATCAAGATAATAAGTTCAAGAGAACACACAAAGCTGTAAAAGCCAGGATGACTATCCTAAAGACTAGATAAAGATGTTTTCAGGTTGGATGAGAGGAGTTTAGAAAATCAAGGAGAGGCCGGGTGCGGTGGTTCACGCCTGTAATCCCAGCACTTAGGGAAGCGGAGGCAGGCAGATCACGTGGTCAGGAGATTGACATCATCCTGGCCAACATGGTGAAACCCTATCTCTACTAAAATACAAAAAATAGCTGGGGCTGGTGGTGCATGCCTGTAGTCCCAGCTACTTGGGAGGCTGAGGCAGGGGAATCACTTGAACCCTGGAGGCAGAGATTGCAATGAGCCAAGATCGCACCACTGCACTCCAGCCTGGTGACAGAGCGAGACTCCGTCTCAAAAAAAAAATTTAGATGTAGATAGCTCTTTGAGAAGTGTCTTTGTGCCCTGTGTATTCCTGCCCACCCTTGGTGACTGGCCTGGCTAGAGAACGATGGGGCAATGAAGGCTGCATGAGCCACTAATAAGTTTGGGGCACCTGAAAGCAAAGAGGACCTATATCTTGATTCCCATGTAGACCTCAGGAAGGCAGCAGCAAGACCTCAGAGTAGAAAACTGTTGCTTGGTTCGTTTTGTGCAGAATTTTCCATTTTGTTTTTTACTGCAACCTATAAGAAGGGGTTCATCTTATACTGAGACCTAGCACACACTCATCTATAACTGAAATGTTTTATGAACCCATACTTATTTCTACTATGTGTATTATTATTGTGTAACAAGCTAGCCCCAAATTTAGCAGCTTAATACAATTATTTAGCAACCTATAAGAAGGGGTTCATCTTATACTGAGACCTAGCACACACTCATCTATAACTGAAATGTTTTATGAACCCATACTTATTTCTACTATGTGTATTATTATTGTGTAACAAGCTAGCCCCAAATTTAGCAGCTTAATACAATTATTCTCTCAAAGCTTCTGTAAGTCAGAAACTTGGAGCAGATTAGCTGGGTAGTTCTGATACAGGTCTCTTAGGGGGTTGTAATTAAGATGTCAGCTGAAGCTGCTTCCAAGATGGCTCACTCATATGTGTGTTGGCAAGAGGCCTCCGTTCCTCACCATGTGGGCTCCTCCATAGGGCTGCTTGAGTGTCCTCACAACATGGCAGTTGAGTTTCCCCAGAATAATTGAACTGAGAAAGAGCAACAAGAAAGCCACAGTCAATACCGTTTTTTGGTCCTAATATTTAAGACATCTTCACTTCTACCACATTCTGTTCATCAAAAGTGATCACCATAACACTATTTAGGGGGAAGAAAATGCACTCTGCTAAAAACTTTCAATTTTTCAATCTCCCTAACACTTGAGGATAGCCATGTGATATAGTTCTGGCAATAAGATGTAATCGGGCATCTCTGGGAAGGTCATGTCTTCCTCATTAGAAAGGCAAAACTTTTTGGGAAAAGCCCTTATTCTCCCTTTTCTCTTTCTTGGAATGGAGAGTGGAGACCTGGAGGTGCAAGTCATCTAGCAAATGTATGTTAATATGAAACCTACCAGTCCAGGATGGAGGCCTGGAAAGCTGCATCTCTGATGGTATTCTTGGGCTGCTCCTTCCTTGACTTGTTGAGACAACCCCTAATGAGTTAAAAAAAAAAAAAAATAAGTAATGAGTCACTAAGTACAGCTCACACTTAAGGGAAAAAAAATTAGTTTATATCATTTGAAGGGAGGAGTACCAAAGAATTTTACAACTATCAAACTATGTGTGGTGAAATCTGATATGTTTTATTCCATCCTACACCACTTCAGTTTGTTTTAAATGTTGGTTATAACCCATTACACTAAATTGATGACTTACCATTGGTTGTAACCCACAATGTAAATAGTCTAAAATCACTCTATTGGCAAAACTGCAGGGAAACAATTATACTCATAACTTGATGGTGGAAGTGAAAAATGGTACAACTTATAGAGAAGGTAATGTGGCAATTTGTATTAAATTATAAATGTATTTAGCCTTTGAACCATCACTCCTACCTATGAGATTCTACCATATAGAAATACCTGCACACATACAAAATGTTTTATGTGTAAGTTGCTTCACTGCAGCATCATTTTCCAATAGTATAAAATTAGAGATAACCTGTTGATCAAAAGAAGGTGGCTACATTTTGATATTACCAAATATTTGGATATTTTGATATATCCATGCAGTGGAATACCATGAAGCTATTTAGAAAAATAATAACTTTGAATATATCATAGGTAACAATTTCCAGGATATATTGTTAAATGAAAAAAATCAATGTGCATATAGTATGCTAACTTTTGTGTAAAAGAGGGAGAAAATTAATATGCCTTTCTTTACTTTTACATAAAGAAACAAAAAATTAATAAAAAGTGGTTGCCTGAGAAAGGTGAGGACAAGGTGAATAGGGCAGATGTAGGCAAGAGACTTTTAATGTATATTTGTTGAAAGATAGTTTGGCTAAATATAGGATTCTTGGTTGACAGTTTTTTCTTTTAGCACTTTGAATATGTTATCCCTCTACCTTCTGGCCTCCACTGTTTCTGATAAGTCAGTTGTTAATCTTATTGGGATTCCCTTGTGTGTGACAGGTTGTTTTTCTCTTGCTGCTTTCAAGGTTTTTCCTTTGCCTTTGTCTCTCAGCATTTTTACTATTTTACTATTTGCTAGCTGTGTGTGTCTCTCTGTGTTTGTCTTACTTGGGATTTTCTTGAGTTTCTTGGATGTATGTAGATTAATTCCTTTAAGATTCAAATTTGGGAAGTTTTCAACCATTATTTCTTCAAATACTTTTTCTGCTCTTTTTTCTCTCTCTTTTTTTGGTAGTCACATTACACATATGTTAATGTACTTAATGGTCTCCCAAAGGTCTTTGAGACTGTATTCATTTTTTCTGCATTTTTTTCTCTCTGTTGTTCAGTTTACATAATCTCTATTGAACTATATTCAAGTTTGCTAATTCTTTCTTCTGCCAGTTCAAATTTACTGTTTAGTCCCTGCAGTTAAGTTTTAATTTTAGTTATTGCAATTTTCAACTCAAGGATTTCCATGTTTCTTTTTTTTTAAATTCTATCTTCTTTACTAATCTCTATTGATGAGACATTTTCAACATGCTTTCTTTTACTTCTTTAAGCATAGTTAAAAAAATTCTTTGAACACATTCATAATGCCTACTTTAAAGAGTTTGTTAAATTTGCTATCTGATCCCTCTCATGGACAGTTTCTTCTGTTGCCTGCTTTTTTTTTCCTAGGTATGGTTCATATTTTCCTATTTCTGTGCATGTCTCATATATTTATAGTTCCTGTGGTTGCAAACTGGATGCTTTCAATAGAGAGAACCAGGGAAAAAGGCAGCTAAGAAAAACGTTCATGGAGCAACTCTGTAGCAGCTCCAGATACAGGTTTCTACTCCTCCTTCTGTGGGGCTTATTACTGTTGTCTGTTTGTTTGTTTATTTATTTGTTTAGTTACTGGACTATTTTGGGGTAGTCTTTTTGCTCGGTGTTGTGAAGCCTCTGGTGTTGTTCCTCAGAGAACACAGCCTTGGGTACGCCTACAGTCACCCTTGGAGAACAGTGGCTTTAGTAGGGCTCTGTTTGTCTCTTTTCCTGATCACTTCTAGATGTTAGGAGTCACCAATTATTTGCTAATTGCCTTATTGGTTTTGACAATGTTATAGGGCATAAATTGCTTCACGGTCTGATCCAATTGCAGGGGTAATTTTTGAGGTTAGTTTAGACCTCAAGAGAGCTCTTTTTAGCTATCTCTTTTCTGGGTTCTCTCTGGTAAACTAGCTGCCTATGGTTTAGCTTCTATCTCTCATGAAGTTTCTAGCCTCCTCTTAATTACCACCAAAACTCCACTGTTTTTGAGAATGTCCATAGACTTGAACTTCTTCACACTTTGTTTTAAATAAAATTAGTTCCCTTGGAGAGAGCTTCAGGGCCGTCTGTTTAAAGGCCTGTCTCTACTCCTATGCAAACTCTCTGAGTCATGGCTCTGAACTGTGGGGGCAGGGATGGTGGCCTGCTTCTTTTGGAATGGTTGCTCCAAAAGTAGAGCATTGGGTGGGGGGTCATAACATCTGGTCTTCTCAGTTTGCCTGTTCAAGCATGAAGTCTCAGTCCTACAAATGAGCTTCTTTGAGAATAATCATGGCCCCAGTATTCCCAGCATGCCACACCCTAGTAAAGCATTTGCTCTATGAGTGGGAGGTAGGTAGAAGACAACCCCCAACTTCTTGGCTGCACTCACCTGGAATTTAACCTCTGCAACATGTAGCCTGAGAGATGTGAAGTTCTTGTAACCTGCTCCTCTGAGGAGAATAAGATAGTCCTGGGATCTCAGAGAAGGGAGCCTTGTGCTTTTTTCCACCTGGAATGGAGTCTCTGTCATACTGAGCTGGCAATAGGGAGAGAGTGAGTGGGTTATAATCCAAATGCCACAGACTCACTATTCTTACTGAGTTTTAGTAGATTTTCTTAATTAATGTTTCTCCATTTTCTATATGCCATTAGGACAATTTAAAAAGATTTAAAATGATTGTCTTGCAACTAATGTTCACCAGTTACACTTGTTTAATTGGGATCCACAGAGCTCTTCATTGCCATTCCAGAAGTGGAACTTCCAGTGCATGTTTTATGTATAATTTTGATTTATTGACCCAACAATATCAAAATATATCAAAAATCAAAAATATCTGAAAAATTTTTCAAAAGCAGCCTGTGACCTCCTAATGGGTGTGGTCGCAGCCCTCTATGGTTCTGAGGTGGAGTCATGATTTTTTTGTGTTTAGAGAGGGGCTCCAAAGTGGTCATTTGAGCTGGGTCCTCTTGGACTTAAGTGGGAAATAATTACTCAGCAAGCCATGGATATAAGGCCAGAGACAGACTGATGGATGCCTTGGCAGATGCCAGGGTGAATGGATGACAATTGAGGACTTAGGTTCACCAGTGCATTGGCACTAATAAGCCCCTAGAACCTAGATGCTGTCATCTTAAGTTTTGCCATCTGGCAGAGTAAGATACTGAGTTGCAGAAAAATAATTACTTTCTTTCTTATACCACTAAAAGTGTAGACTAGAATTTAGATCAATTGTAAAAGTACAGGCAATTCTTTCAATGGGTTAGCTGACGGAAAGGAACTGAGGGAGAGAAAAGGAGGGAAGAATGGGAATTTTTCTTCTCAAGTGAGAGATTAGGGCATGCTTAAGTGCTCATGGCAGGGATATGGTTCAGTGGGAAGGCTAAGGATACCAGGGAACAGAAATAATAGATAGCATGAAATTTCCGAGGCTGGAGAAAAGACCAGCTTCATTATAACTGGAAAACATAGCTGAGAACTAGTACAAATCTAGTTTAGTTAGGTTCAGTGGCTAAAATATGAAGAAATGTGTATCTGATGGCTTCTATTTTCATGGAGAAGTAGCAACAAAAGTCACATTCCAAGAGGTTAGGGTTGGTTAAATGTTTGAGTGGAGAAAGTTTGAAGGGTCACAAAAGGGGGCAGAAGGAGTGAGCTGACATGTGAAAATGCTGACATTGCCAGCAGGGTGGAAGGGGCAGGCAAGGCTATGGATTCTAAGTGCAGTGGGTACTAATTGATCTGATTCTGTAATTTTTCTCCAACGGTGTTCAGATGTGCTGGAGCAGGAATGGGGAAGTTGGATGACTGGGGTCATCTTGAGTGGAATTTTTCCAGAAAACAACTGCTCAGAAACTCTTCATATGTATTTTTTTAAAACACACACATATAGTTGTTTTCCAAATCAAAAACAAAATCTTTTCTTTTAAATGTTATGCTGTTTTCCTATCCCTTTGATAGTTGTCTTTATCTTCCTTGGCACTTTCCCAGGTTTCTCATTGTCTTTTCCAAAAGACAGAGGCAGTACAGTATAGCAGTTGAGAGACGACTTCTGGCACCAATCTGCCAGGTGCAAATCTCATGTTTAGCACTTACTAGCTGTGTGATCACATAACACCTCTGTGCCTTGGTTATCTCATCTGTAAAATGGGGAGAGTGATAATATAGTATGCCTTCATAAGATTGCTCTGAGGATTAAATAAGCTAATGCACCTACTATACAGAGTATTACCTGTTGCTGCATTATTTCCTCCCAAATGAAATACCCAAACGGGAAGCAGAATGAGACATGAAGGATTACATTCTGGCCTTTATATAGTACTCAATATTTAATCCATTCCATTATTTCATAGCTTTTCTTTCTCCTTTTCCCACGAAGTCACTATAATTGCATACTCATAGTAAGCAGATGGAAAGGTCAAACTCTTAGATTATTTTGAGAATCATTCTTTCTTCATTTTTTGAGGTATTGATTGTGTAAGTATTTACACTGGGTCAAATGGGTGGCTGACTTATACCTGCATATCTCTTGCTTCCAAGTTCATCTCTTTTCTTTGATAGCCTCTTCTGAAAATGCTACACCTTTTCTTCTCCACAAGTAAACTTGTTATGGCTGATTGTTGTTACAAAGCCACAAGGTCCTTGCTGAGGCTGTAAGCCCTCTGCAGATGAGTACTGTGGCTTCTACCTTTTAGTAGCCTTAGCTCCCAGGAAGTTGCCCTTATATAAAGTAGGAAACAAAAATGGTAGATGATGATCATGATGATGATAATGATGACAGTACCATAAGTGATTATTCTTGATTTCCTTACCTGTAGACTTCTGTGGGAATACAGAGAAAAAACATGGGGTTCTGAGGCCAAATGGACTGCAGTTCAAATCCTAGTTCTACCACTAAATAGTTGGATAGCCTTGGATTAAAAACAAACAATTTAGAGCATTGTAAATTGTTCAGTAATTTATGAACAACTTTCTCTTTTTCCCCTCTAATTCTTGCCTACCATGACTCTCAGAGCCACTAACAGAATGGTCTCTTTCACAAGCCATGCTTTTCCTAAAACTTCCTGCCACTGAAGAGGTAGGGCTGGAATTCCTTTTCTTCCTTAAAGTTCTTCCTGCCATCACCTTGTCACTTCCAATCTCTCAGATTTTTCCTTCACTCACCAGGTAGGTTTTTTCTATATCACGTTTATTTTTCAATGCCTTCCTTCAATTCTTCTTCCCAGGCAACACACTAATTTGCAACACGTTCACCTCCTTACTCTAAGATCTCTCTCTGCCCTTTATTCACAACTGTACTTCCTATTCTATGATATCTTTTATAATTGGAAGACTTGATCATTTCTCTCTAAATCCCAAAAGTGACTCGGTGCCAAAAAATACACAATTTTTTGCCTTTAACAGGCAAATACTACAGATACCTGTTTTTGTTAGTACAGCTGCATGAAGTCTGTATATGCTTTATAAAATAAGGGCTAGAGGGGAGAGATTATCTCATCTACTTTGTACTACATCGAGTGTAGCAAAATATACACAATTTACAAACTTCTGATTTGTGATGATACACTGAGAAGCAGAAAAAATTAAAACATCTTTAGCTCTGACATGAATCATATATTTCCACCTTTGATTACAAAATAATGACATGCACCCACCTGTCAAACAAAGAAATACTTAAAAACATATTTAAATACTTTACAGGAAGAAAATGCTGGCTATTTCACATTGAAATCTTCATATGACAGCTAATGTCTTTTCACATCTACTGTAAATAACTTGTTCAATTAAGGCTATGAAATATTGAAGAAAAGAGGGGCAGGATGGAGGGAAAGAAAGAGGGAAAAATAACATTTTTTAAAATTCTGAGTAAATGATCCTGTGTATAGTTGTATTTAACATTAGAAAGTTCACCTACACAAATCCTGAATTATGTTTTTGAATTATTGTAAAACCATCTTTTTTGCTAGGATAGAAATTTAAAAAGCATCTTTGATTTGCATATTTCTAAAGATATTTTCAGTTTGCTTGAAGTTCTTCTCCAACTTTATGCCTGTGTTTTTAATACCCGGTTCCATATAGTCCCACACCTATTCTCCCTTTAATACTACATTATCTTCGACAAGTTATAGCTATAAAGCAACCATCAGCTATTTTAAAAAACACAAAATACACCAAATTTCTAAATGTAGAAGAGTATGATCTTCTTGGAAAAGTCTATGCTAATTCCAAGAGGCTGCTTCTCAAAATAGTTACAGAATTTCTCTTTGGAATCATTTTCAGTTAACTAAAAGCCACATAGGAAACCCAACCTTGTGGCTTTATAGAGGTCTCATTTAAAAAAATAATAATAATTTAAATGAAGTGGCATGACTCACCTTATTCAATCAACTTGACTTCAAATTACATTTTTGGCTATATCCAAAAATCAAATTTACCTCAAAAGACTTCTGAGCAGCATCCCAAAATTTATCGGAAATAAAAGTAGCATGTTAGAGTAAGGATAAAGCTTCAAAGTTTTCCAAGGAAGATCATTTTGGAGAGATGATGCGGGTGGAAGGAATGTTAATTTTTACATATAATCTTGGAAAACATTTTTAAAACACATTTATGCTCATACTTCTACTTGTCCTTCAGATGGTTGAATTTTATCTAATAATAACCACTTTTTCAAAATCCTAAAATGATTTTAAATGGGTTAAATGAATTAACAATTTTCCACAAAGGTTATTGGGGGCGGGGTGAGGAAGTGCACCAATGTGTGTAAGGATAAGACTTTTCCACTAGCAATCTAACCACCCAAGGCATGTCAGGGGTGCAAGCTCTAGAAACTACAGTTTTGTTGGATGCTAGCGATTTAGAGGGGCTTTCAAGCAGCTCTGAGGGTCTCCATTCATTCCTGAAATTCTATGTAGTTGAACAATACTAGCTGCATTCAATGTTTTGTTTGTTTCACAGTGTTGTCCTGTAATATGAGCTTTTCAGTTATAGTGAATGTTATTTTTGTCATTTTTGGCACTTACAGTTCACAATGCTTGGTTATGTGGTTTAAGATTGTTTTAATTTTTGCATTTTACATTCCTTTTGGCACTTTTGAAGAAGGGACATTGTTTTTTTATGTTGTTTGGGGAAAGTGGTAAGCCTCCCCCGTCTCCAGCTTTAAATGTTTGGTTTTATGAAATCCACGACTCTCCCCCAGAATCTTCCATCATTAAATAATGCGAGTGGAAATTTGCCTTCATAAGCTGGCCATCCCAACCGTCTTAGAGGCTAGTATCCCCAGTTTCAGATTTAGGCTGTTTGGTCGCTGCCGTCACAGGCTCTGGTGGACCCTCTCGGCAGAAAAGTACAACCGGATTTTTGCGGGCCCACATGGCCATGTCCCCTCCCACTCCACTGGCCGGGTTGGAAGAGGACACCCTGCTGCAGGCCCCCAGCCGGTTGGCATAGCGGTTTCGAAGGCGATTGCGGCTTCTGGCTTGCAGACCCGGGCCCTGGCTAGGCAGGAAAGCGTCCACATTCCTAGTCCGGTAGCCCTCCTCGCGGTTGCGCCCTAGGAGCATCGAAATGTTGGGATTGCGGATGGCGTAGATGACAGGGTTGATGGCCCCATTGGCCCAGGTCAGCCAGACCGCCACCACGTTGAGGAGCGAGGGGGCCTGCACTGTCTGGGCCTGCCGGGCGGCTGCCAGCAGCACCAGGAAGCAGTAGGGCCCCCAGCAGCAGATGACTAAGACGATCATGATGAGCACGGTGGTGGCCGTGCGCACCTCACTGAAGAAGCGCAGCACGCGCGCGTAGGTGTTCACGGGCCGCACGCGCACGTCCGACAGGCGCACGGTCTTGCAGATGTGGTAGTGGCAGAAGCACATGAGCAGGAAGGGCAGCAGATAGCAAGCCACCACCAGCCCCACGCTGAAGGCCGCGCCCAGCTGCGCGGGATCCGGAGAGGTCCGGTAGAGGCAGCTGTGGAAGCTCTGCGCCGCCGCGAGTTCCCGGGGCGCCCCAAGCAGCTCCCAGGGCAAGGAGAAGCCCAGGGCCGCCAGCCAGGCGCCCGCCAGCAGCTGCAGAGCGCGGTGGCGGCCGATCTTCTCCCGCGGCGGCCGCACGATGGCGCAGTAGCGGTCCAACGAGATGAGCGCCACGCTGAGCGTGGACACGATGCCGAAGCACGAGCTGAAGAAGCGGCTGGCGGCGCAGAAGCCGCGCCAGGGCCCCGCGGCGGCGGCAGGCGCCGAGCCTCCGGGCGGCGTGAAGAGGTCCAGGAAGGCGGCGGGCAGGCAGAGCAGCGCCGTGAGCAGATCCGATAGGGACAGCGACAGGATGAAGGCGTTGGTGACGGTGCGGAGCTGCCGGTGCTTCACGATCACCCCCATCACCGCGCAGTTGCCCAGGCTAGACAGCAGGAAGATGAGCAAGAGGACGAGCGCCTGGGCCGCCACCGCAGCTCCGTGCGACAGCAGCGGCGCCGCCTCCGAGCTCAGGAGCTGCCTCACCGCCGCCCCCGCCTCCCGCGCTGCCCCGGACCCGCCAAGGCCGCCGCCACCGGGAGCGGCAGCTGTGCCGCCTCCGCTTGCGTCGCTCAGGTTCCCCAGCGCCGCGGCCGCCGCGGTCGCCACGGTGCTGAAGGAGGCCACGGTGCTGAAGGAGACCACGGCTGCCGTGGCCGCGGAGGAAGTCCCGCCAGGCGGGCCGGCCGCGGAGGGGGCGCCGGGGTGCGGGCTGCCCAGTAAGGCCATGCTCGCTGGTGAGCGGGCCGGTGGCGGCGGCGGCTCCTCCATGGGGCCCAGTGGCGGCCGCGGATCTGGTCATCCCGCAGCGGGGGCGGCGGCCTCTAGGTCGGAGGGGTGGTTCAGGGCCGGGGGCTAGCGGCCGCTGCGGGGAGCTGGGCTCGGCCGGAGGGGTGGCGGTCTCTGGGGACCCGGCGGAGCCTTTGACGTGGGTTCAGAGCGTTGCCGAGGGAACCGCGTGTTTACGCAGGAGCGCGGGGCGGGACGCCAATCCAGTACCCGCTGCAAAGCCGGCCCATGACACTGCCCCTCCGGCCGGGGGCTTCGCGTTTCCGAGAGTGCCAGGTCTACCTCCTCAGGGACCACTGTCCGGCCAGATAAAGCGCGAGTGGCATGCAAACCAATGACCACATTCAGCGAAAGTTCACTCTTGCTCTCTTTTGTAGGGTACAAATGTTCTACAGGCAGGCCTTTTGGGGAGCGGGTGGGGGGTGCTTTGCTTCCTGTGGGTGCTTTTGGTATATACAGGTAGGAAAGGAATCTAGAACGTGAAGTGAAAGAAAAATCCAGAAGTCTACATCCAGACATCTTCAACTTGAGAAGTCGACTAATTTAAACCAATAATTCTCAAACTTGAGCTAACAGAAAATTCACATAGAGGGTGTGTTAAAATACAAGTGACAAGGTCTCAACCCCAGTGTTTTGGATAAGTCTGGGGAAGTGCCCAAGAATTTGTATCTCTAACGGGCTCGCCGATGATGATGATGATGCTGGTTCCAGGACCACACTTTGAGAACCACTGATGTCAAGAGCTTCATAAAATGCAGATTCCCTGGCTGACAGAATTACTGAGGATGGGCCCATGACTCTAAACCCTCTAGGTGATTCTGATACAGGTGCTCTGAGGAGCTAGGATATGCATCTTCTTTAGATGTTACTTCATTTCCATGGGCCTGGACCTCAGGCCCCTACTGGCTGATAAATGGAGGGAAAGGGATTGGTGCCTTGCCCTGCTAGCAGCCTTCATCTGTTCTCAGGAATGGGGTGTGTTTTGAGTCTAAGATGCTGCCAGCCTGGCAGTCATCACAGATGCAGCTCCAGGTATCTGGCTGGGAGATACAGGGAAAAGAAAGGCAGGGCTACCCGGGGAAGTTGCATCTCAAGTTTCTGGGCATGGCCCGTAATGGGGAAAAGTGTGATAAACCTTCAGGTTAACTAACCCCGGGCTCTTCTCTAAAGGTTCAGAGTATGGACATTGGACCAGCAGCATCAACATCCCCTGGAAACCTTGAGAGATACATATTATCAGGCCTACAGTGCATAGGATACCCCTGATCTACTGAAACTCCTGTGGTGGGGCCCAGGCACCTATGTTTTAACAAGCCCTCCCAGTGATTCTGATGCACAAATTTGAGAAACACTGCTCTGAAGAATGACTAGTACATTTGTAGGTCTTAGCATCAATGGTGTTAGTATTGGGAGTGCTTACTTCATTCAGAAAAAATATCCTACAGGAAATTTACAGTATAAATAGAAGAACATTTAAGGTGGCAAACCAAAACCGGGTTTCTCAGCCTCAGCGTCATGGACTTTTTGGGCCAGATAATTCTTTATTGCAGGGGCCATCTATACACTGTAGGATGTTCAGCAGCATCCCTAGCCCCTACCTACGAGATGCCAGTAGCACCTCTCCCAGCTGTGACAACTAAAAATGTCTTCAGATATTGCCAAATGTCCTCTTGGGATCTGTCAACCCCAGCTTAATCTAGACTGATTTCATCTTAATTTTGTCAATCAAGACAAAAATATAATTATCATACATTATTTAGCAAACACAATCTTCTAAGATTGTGCTTAGTTTTAGAAAACAACAAATAAGATAGGAAACCCAGCCCAAAATAAGCTTAAGTCACAGGCCAACACAGTATATTACAGTGTGCTAAATATTGTCTTAAAAATATGTGAGTGAAATTATTTGGAGGTAACTAACTCTTCCTGACGAAGACTTTGTACAAGAGGTGACATTAGACTTTTTAAAAAAAGAAGAAAGGGGAAGAACATTTGATGCATGTGCAAAGTCTTGAGGTTAGTGTTGAAATGATCAGTGTCTGAATTCTAGGATATTGGAGATGGGGAGTGAAGAAGGAAATAAATGATCAAAGTGTATTGGGGCCGCCTTATGATGGGCCTTGTAGGCCATGCTCTGGAGACTAAACTTCATCAGGGGAGGAGGGGCTATACCACAAGGGAGGGCTGTGAGCAAGTGCATGGTTCAGAAGTACCAGAAGGACTGCACTCTCCTGGTTCCTTCCTTCCTCATCTTTCTCAGTGTCCTCTCCTCTGCCATTTCATCATCTTCCACCTGCCTTTACATGCTGGAGTTCATCAAAGCCCTGTTCTCGGCTCCTCTGGACTCCCCCCTCAGGCCCATCTCACTCACATCTGGGACTTGAAAGATTATCTATATATTCATTACTCAAATTATGTCTGCGGCCCCAACCTACATGCCATGCTACTTGGCATCATGTGCCAGTGGTGTATCAAATGGGTGCATGATCCTCTTCCTACTTCCCCTGAAAAACTTGGTCCTTAATACTCTGTATCTCAGAATATGGTAGAACCATCCTTCTAGCCTTTAAGCCAAAAACTTAAGAGTTTTCCTTGATAAATCCCTCCTCCTTACCACCAGTCCACATCCAATTCATCAACCAAGACCTATGGATTTTAGTTTCAGACTATCTTTGCATCCATTCACCTCCTCCATCCTGAATCTTGGCTCTCATCCTCTCTTTGGACTACTGTTGTCACTGTTGTCCTAACTGGTCTTCCCACATCCAGTCCCTACATTGTAGGCAGATAGGCATAACGCTCTTAAAAAAATTCTTCATGCCACTTACTTATTTAAACTCCTCTAATCAGGCCAGTGTAGTGGCGTGTGCCTGTAGTCCCAGGTACTTAGGAAGCTGAGGAGGGAGGATCATTTGAGCCCAGCAGTTAGAGGCCAGCCTGGGCAACATAGTGAGACCATGTCTCTTAAAAAAAAAAAATCCTATTGGCTTTCCCCATTTATTTTAGAATAAGGACCCCAATCCTTAATATTTCCTGTGAGGCACTGCATGATTTGACCCCTGCTTCCTCTCTAGTCTCATTCGGTACCACTTTCCTTCTTTTTTGCTGTGTTCCTGCCACACTCGGCTTTTATGACTTCCTTAAACCTTCCATCTTAGGGCGTTTGCACTTGCTATCCCCTCTGCCTGGAAAGCTCCCATCTTCCTCCTCCCTTCCCTAGCATCCCCATCTTCGCATTAAGGTTAGTCCATGGAGGAAGCCTCCCTTGACTGATACCCTCCTCTCCCCATGTATTGGGCCAAGTTCCCCTGTTAGTTTCACAGCACTCTGTATTTTCCATTGTAGTACATAACCATGGTCTATACGTTTTTGTGTGATTATCTAAGTATTACCTGCCTTCCCACTGTATACTATACGAGGACCTAAACCTTGCCTGTTTATTTTATGAGATCCCCAGCACTTAGCACTCTAACAAACTGCTATACAAATGCCAACATACAAAAAAATATTTTTTGAGTAACTGTAAGAGGAGAATCTGGAATTTGGGAGACCACTTAAGGAGAGGCATTGTAATAGTCCAGGTGAAAAATGAGAGTCTGAAGTGGACCTTTGCAGTGAAGAAGGAGGTGTTATGTACAGATTAGGGCAGGTAGTATATGGATTAGGATTCTCTGGGTGTAAGTAACACAGTGAGGACACTGGTTCACATAAGCAATATAGGAATTCACTGAAAGGACAGAGGAGGTTCCATTTACAAAAGGACAGTCTAACAGCAGCTCCAAGAAGAAAAGTCAGAGCAGTCCTGTGGGTAGGAAGAGCAGAAACTGATGGGAGTGATCTCTTTAGGCCACCACTGGAATATATCAGCTTCAGTTTTCAGACCTTATGTCATTTCTCAAGATCTCAGGTCTGGGGGAGAAAGTCTGACTGGTGTACCAGTTTCCTGGCAGTCCTAGCAAGACTACATGCAGGTAGTTTCCCAAAGAAAAATGAGAATGTTGTTGATAAAAGAAGTGGAGGCCAGGCGTGGTGGCTCACACCTGTAATCCCAGCACTTTGGGAGGCCAAAGTGGGCGAATCACAAGGCCAGGAGTTCAAGACCAGCTGGGCAACATGGTAAAACCACGTCTCTACTAAAAATACAAAAGCATTAGCTGGACGTAGTGGCAGGCACCTGTAATCCCAGCTACTCAGGAGGCTGAGGAAGGAGAATCACTTGAACCCGGGAAGCGGAGGTTGCAGTGAGCCGAGATTGTGCCACTGCACTCCCACCCTGGCGACAAAGTGAGACTCCAACTCAAAAAAAAAAAAGGGGGGGGGAGGTAAAAGAAGGGGAAAGGCATGATGGCCGGAGAAACCCACAGCTGTCCACCTCAGGAGCATCAACAAAGAGGACAAAGATTGTGAATAGGAGCCAAGGGTCAATCCCAAGTCCCTAGCTTGGTGGATGGCGGTGCCATTAATCAAGTTAGGGAATATGGGAAAAGGGCCACAATCTAGGGGGAAAATGATCTTGGTTGTCCCCTAAGTACTGAATCTACAGTATGGTCTTAGACCTCAGAAATTAGGGATGCGGATGTGGTTAGTCTCTCTACAAGAGGGAAAACCATGGGAATGAGTGTGACAATTTAAGGACAGAGTAGTCAGGGAAGAAAGAAAAGCACCATGGATGGAATGCTAGGGAGTACTAAAAGTTAAGAAGCAGATAAAGAAAGCAAAGCTAGGCAGGTAAATGATATAGTTAATGAGGCACATTGGTCTATTGATAAATCAGCTGTTTTATGTTTTTGATTTTCAGAAAAGAAGGTAAGGCAATTTTCCCAGCCTCTTATGAGGAACATATTTGTGATCATCTGGTCAGTGCTATCCTTTACCTCCAGGTGGAGAGCTAACAGGCTTTTCATCTGTTTCAGAGCTTAGAGGAGAAGTTGCCAGCTAGGATTACCCAAACAGGTAATTAAGATAGGCTCGTCCAAAAGTTGGCTACTCACAGTACTCCAACCAGCAACATTAGCATCACCTGAGAGCTTGTTAGAAATGCCCACCCTGTGTCTGATGAATGAGACTCTAAGATTCCCAGGTGATGCACATGCACATTGAAGTATGAAGAACAGTGTCCTAAAGAGGGATACGGAATTTGTGGCTTTCAGGATTGAAGAGAAGGGTGACCTAACTCTTATTGAGTCTGGAGGACTTGGAGCAAAGTGCATTGTGAGTTCATGATGAAGAGGAGATGGGCCTGGGCCCATACAATTGCAACACTTTGGTGGGCACTAAGGGGACTGGGTACCAACCTCATAAGCCTAACTGAGTGCTTCTGTGGGTGAGCTCAGCACCAAGGGACTAGAGTTGCCTGTTCTAAAATGGACCACACCTGCCTACAGGGAGCAAGCAGTGGGGGCCACCATGGATTGCACAAACCATTAGACCTGGCAATTAGGTAAAGTTTCTAATGAGTAATGAGGTAGAAGCCAGATTGCAATAGTTGAACAGCAAAATGGAAGGTGAGAAAATGTACCCATTGAGGAGACAGTAAGG